AATTCTGGGATGCCCAGCACCTTTCAACCCCCTAGCAGTATGCAACCAGCTTCCACTAGATCGGGATCTGCGTGAAAGTTGTCCCAGGGTGACTATGGAGAATATTGCAAGGGTCCAGCAGCTATTAGGGGGTTTCACACATCTTGCCGCCAGGTGCTGGTTCATCAGTGATTTGTCAAAAAGCGGCAAGACCGCACCGCCTGTGCTCACAAGCGACCCAATGCCTGGCTGACGGCGAAATGTGTGAGGAAACTGTTTTGCACATGACAGGGCTTACTTTACTGCCCTGGAGCCCGAGAAAACTGCAGCACTTAGAGCCTGAGAAAACCATTGCAATTTACAAGTGGAAGCCGAGGGGCGAGCTTCGGCGTTGAACTTTGCCAGTTCGAAGATTCTACAGAAATTCAATGTGCTCGCTTCCCCCACGAAAAAAAGGACAGAGTTCACCAAAGCCAGTGTGTTGGCAATGGCTGTGGGAAGCCCATCCAGGAGGTTGGGAATTCGAGGAGAGACTGGTGGCGCGTAAATTTGGGGTATATCCTCCATGATGAACCGCAATATGTTGCTGAACACAATCCCCGTTCCGCGGTGCCAAACCGCGTGCGGCACCCGCCAGCATGCTGTGACGTTTACGACATCAAGCCATGGGTCCAAGTAGTTCTCCTCGGCCGCGTAGCCTTCCTGTTTGCAGCTGGCAATGCTGTTGATAGTAGACATCTGCATGACCTACTAGACAATAGTACTATAATTCCCAAAGTATAAGATACCTAGGGTCATGCAGGATGTTTAGTATCCACCGTAGCAGGAAAGAGTCGGACTCCTTTCTACTAGTGGGCTTGAGTGATACTTGCAGGTGACTTCTCCAAAGACTCCAAAGCTATGGGGGGCTTCAGAGATTACTGACCAAAGCATTGTTTGGGCACGTTAAATTGATAAAAACCTCATGGTCCTCCCAGAGAGCAGCTTGCACATACCTGGGCTGATCTTTTCAGTCCAAAAATGCAGACAAAAACACTTGCCCAAAACGATGGATGTTGAAAAACCTGAAGCCGCGACCCAGATACCCTTCAAGAATGCCAAAAAGCTGTCCCCAGCCTTAGCAGACAGTCTAAGGTCGGAACCATGGGCCCCCCAGTATGAGCCATTAATCCTGGGGCTTTAGGGCTTATAGGGTTTAGGGTTTAGTGAACCTATTCTATACCCTTTTAAACCTACAAGCCCATTAAGGGCCCATAGTCAGGGCCAGGAAACAGGTAGGGGCCCGTATTACCGGCCCATGTTTGCGACCTTAGAATACATAACCCTAGCCTTACTGGTTCTTAGTAGGGAATATCATCCCCTATATAACCTATTCCCATATTCCCTACTAACCCCCAGTAAGTAGCTTCCATTACATGTTTCATTTGCCTTTCCATTTGAACTTCATTATGTGGGGTACTGCCCCTAAACCCTATATGAGCTAGAGTCTAAACTCCAAGTATCCCCTTAGTTGCCCCTATAATACTCCCCTATATAATCCACCATATAACCCCCTTTTTAAGGAGTTAAGACTATATCTCATATGGGTGGTTGTCAAAATTATGGTCCCTTTTTGGGTACCCTAAATATTAGGTGCCGTATTATAATAGGGACCCAAAAAGGGCCCATCATTTTGACAACCACCCATATGTCCAGGTAGTGGTACAAGAGCACAGGGAGCCTGAAGCCTCTGTGACTTAAGCAGAATTCGCGGAGCCATAGGAGGACCCTTTACATTCCTGTCTTTAGGGTCGTCCTGGCTTGAGTTTGGGGTTTACAGTTCAGGGTTTAGAGTCGGAATTTGGACGCAACTCTCTCTGACCATCACATTCCGTCAATAATTCAGATGTCAGTTCTGCTTTTCAAAAAAAAGGGTCCCAGACGACTCTTGAGCGGTACCCACGACCTAATCAGCAACTACTCATAGTTGGGGACAATACCCTACTTCTGTTCCCCCTAAGTGGCCTTATGTACGCTACCCTGAGAATAAGCTAGCTGATAGACTACAACTATAACCCCGCTTTTAAGAAAAAAAGTAACCCTATACCAGCCACAGTCTAAACTCCTAGTATCCTCCTTAGCTACCCCTATAATACTCCCCTATATACTCCACTATATAACCCCCCTTTTAAGGAGTTAAGAGCCAGCTTCGTACCTCTGCGTAATTCTCCAAAAAGGTTCATTTGGTCAACTAAGGTCCCAGCCCTGAGCAGTGCTTGCAGGCACTTTCCACGTGGTGGACGTGATGGCGGTAAGAAGGGGCGAACTCAAGTCGCAAAGTATTTCTCTGGTTGTGTCTCCTGGGCGGCTGAGTCTGAAAACACCGTAGGATTTGGCGAAGGACTCTGATAATTACCCAAAGGGTGAATATAGCCATAATAGTACATACTTGAACCCCAAAGTAGCTATACAGGAAACCCATTGAGCCCTAAGTATATACGATGTAGCTACATGGACCCTTTGGGTTAAGAGGAAATGTCACTTCGGAACAACATGGCCAAGTCTCTGAAATCAGTGTCCGGCACCACAGCATCCACCAGAATAACGCAAACCTCAGGATAAAAGAAAGATGCAAGGACTGCGCCAACTGTATCTGCGAGGAGAATGTAGAAAATGATGGCCACGACTACAGAAATGCTCAGCTCGAAAGGCGGGGTTGTATCGTCAAGGGCCTGTACGGTAGCCCACTGATCCGCTGGACCGGCCCAAATGGTGTGAAGTTGGCGAACAACAACACGGGCATCACCGTAAGGCTCGTCCGGCAGGATTCCCAGAATAGCGCTAATGGTAGGCTCATTGATGTTCACAGCAAGGCTCCGTACAAAACCCTGAAATGCCATAAACAGTAAGACGCGAATGGCGAAGTTGTCAAAGAAGGGCGTGAGAAAAGGGGTTTGCGTGGGATTGCTGTGCAAGGAAAAGGAGGCAAATGCAAGCAAGGCTGGCGCAGCAATCATTTCGGATCTCCATGGCCATGCGCCACCAAAATCACTGAGCTCATTGCTACACGCAACCAAAGAGCCCTCATAGTAGGCATAATTTGTCAGCGAGTTGCATGGTTGCTGCATCACCGCCCCATCAGGGTAACTGCTCATTGGGGCTGTTCTGTAGGAGGCTGTGCGGAGAACAGTATCCTCAACGGGCGTAGGGTTGAATTCGACCCATCTAAAGGGGAACTGGACCCAGTCGCTTGGACCCACAGCCTCGCCTAGCTTCTGGAACATGCCCTTGGCGGCCTCCCAAAGGTTGGCTTGCACGACCCATTCCGTGCCATTGATGGCACTGTTGCTGACTGACTCCAAGCATTGTTGAACTTCCTCTCGCAACACCCAGGTGAGGTCGTCCTTGGTGTCGTAGGTGAAGAACTTGAGCAACGGATCTGACGCGAAGTTCAGTTCAGCAGGTCCGGGGAAAGCACTGATGGCACCGCAAAACTCCGTGTCAAGTGGTGCAAACTTTGCTGCAAGCCGTAACTGTTCGATTTGAATCGGGGACAAGGTGAAGGCAGCAACCCTACACGCCTGCCACAGACATGCGGCTACAAAAAGCCGCGTCAGCATCAACAGCTTGCTGCAAGCATGTCTGGAGATTTGATTGCACTTCGGGCCAAAACTTGCGCATGCCGGAATGCAGGGGCAAGTCTCACCAACACAAGGCATGCCTTGTGTAGTTCTTCTTGCCAGTCATCTGCAAATCAGACATATACCTACATCGCACCATGACAAGGAGCGGGGTCACCACTGCAAGCTAGCTTGGAGGATCCCTAAAGTCTAGACCCTAAAACCTAAAGTCTAAACCACCGCAGGAGAGCAAGCTCTTCCACTTGTCTTCAATATTACGGTCATATTGGGGTTATCTTGGGATGATGGAAAAATAATGTGGAAACTACTGTTTAGTGTGTAGGGGTTGGGTTTACGGGTTGCTAGGCCGTGCTAGTGAGGCCCTACCTGTGAACCCAGTTAAATGCCCACAACTTTGGCTTCGGGTTCTGGGTTTTTACGGCTGGCATGCGCATCCCAGTTGCTTGACGTCACGGTTCTGAGCTTTAGGGTTTAGGTTTAGGCTTCAATTTTATAGTACTTCCCCCCTACACCATGGTATGACCACAAAACTGTAGGTAATTGGCGTTGCAGGATGTTACAGGCAGGCTTGCCTTGAACCCTGCTCGGCCACGAATAGGGCCGGCCTACCAGAATCTGCCAGGACGGCCCGGGGTGTTTTATGCTGGTCGACATGATTTTCCAAGGCCAGCTTGGCGTGTCGAATATGAGCCCCTAATAGCCCAATATCCCTACATAACCCATTATAGTAGTTTCCCTCTTCTTGTCCATTATCCCAACACAAACCCACTATATACCCAAATATATATATATATACACATAACCCACTATAGTAGGTTTTCCAGATGTGATGAAAACAATACATGTGGCTCTGTAGGTCATCTCTTTGTAGCTGGCGGATATGTCAATCAACCTGGTAAATGACAACATGATAACGACAATGTTCGCAACTGACGCAGCATTGGCAGCCAGCCTGCTGTAAACGTACAGCTCCAGGCAATCACCGGTACTGTCGGGCACCTGCAAATGCAGGAATGGTCGCGGGCATGGACAAGATTGGCCTGATAAGGGGCTTGGGTTGTCAAAAGGGAACAACAAAAACCTGAGAAGGTGTTTACACGGGCTAGTCAGACTTTTGGCTTTGCAAAACTGGCTGGCGCAAGCCTTGTGCAAGCGTTCCGGGCTCTTTGGCCATTTGGTGGGTCTGCTC